CACTAGTCAGTAGAATATGACAGTAATACATTCCTACTAGTCAGTAGAATATGGCAGTAATACATTCCCACTAGTCAGTAGAATATGACAGTAATACATTCCCGCTAGTTAGTAGAATATGACAGTAATACATCCCCACAAGTTAAACTAGGTAATAATGTGAAAAACCTACATTAAAGTTACAGGAGCTGCAACTTTAGACATTTTTTTCTGTATGTTCTACTCAGGTTGGTTGCACGCTGGTACATATCAACTTATAAAACATAATATGCATAATATTTATAATAATATTTATCATTGTAATATTTTCTGATACGTTACAGAGTGCATGTTAAAGCATATATATTTGTTGTCTATTCATTACTCGGGGAATGTAAATTTATACAGAAAACAACATGTATTTTTACTTCTTTTTTCACTTAATTTTGCGATATTTGTTCAAAGATTTGCAACAAAGGTGTGCATTTCACATGGATTTTGAACCGCATCAACTTGATGCAAATCATTGCATTCTGTGCAACAAAGGTCTTTCTGGGAAAGGAAAAGATTTGCTGAACTTTGTCAAGAATCCTACCATAGATGGCCCTAAAGTATTATTTACTACCTCAGAAATTCGTAAAGATGATGTGCATGCTATGCTGTATACATATCTGAACGAAACATTATTGCAACACAGAAAAAGAATTCTGGGGACTGCAATGATTCTGCATATAATAACGCCTTCACGAAGATAGTAAATGAAATTCAAGCAACCATCTTATAAAAGAAGAAGTCTGTCACAACACTGTCCCAAATCAAATCAGACTTAGTAGATAAAATCACAGCAATGGAATGTGAAGTGCAAGTGTATTCTTGAAGATTGAAAGAGAATTTAAAGAAACACTTTATTGACAGTGTGTTCTAGCACGGTCGCTGTTGGTGACGCACTTCGAAAAGCGTCAAAACTACAGGATTTACAACTTGCTGATTTTAATCGAGTTCATATCGCAACTATATTAAAAGTTAATTCAACTATATTAAAAGTTAATTCAATGGTGGCTCCACAGTTCATGGGACACCTGTATGGTGGCTCCACAATTCATAGGACACCTGTATATGTGTGTGTGTGTGTGTATGTGTGGTCTGTTTGCGTGATAAAATTGTATCATGACGACCGTCCAGAGCACCCCCCGCCCAACACCTTTGCAAAATCGACATTCATTTTCCCATGGATTCATGAACTGTTTATACTACTATAAACATCTGCGTGTGTGGTGGTTCTATATATATGCCTGGAAAAATTGTAACATAATGTAAACATCCGGGGCAGTGAGACGGGGTGAATTTTAACATGAGGCGCAGATTATTGCGATTCATTTTATCACTAGCCAGTCATCTAGTAACATGACAATAAACAAACTGCAGTCATACCTGAATGATTTCTCAGCATACGAACAGAGTATAGACACTGGTACAGCATTGCCACAGGTTGACGCTGATCGTTCTAAAAATCTACCTCGACGTGTCAAAAGACGTGAATCTCGCAAGGCCGTGAATTCGATCACTAAATCGGCAGCAGTCTAACGCGTCCAGCAGCTGGTGAATGTCCTCCAAAAAGTGAGAACATCTTCACTCATCTGTTGTGCCACGTCAAACATCTCTTTTCGTGGGAAAAGCTACGTTTGTGTTCGGGAATATTTTAATGCGTTCCCCACCAAGCGTGGAATATCTTATGATGAGAGAGAGAATTCAATGATATTTTACCGCAGATCAATCGCCTCGTCAGGTATGTTTTTTATCTCAAAAGTATTGGGGCAGCCAATTTACATACTCACTAGAGAATTGGTTAACTGCTTGGGTTTGACTAAACAGTTGGGTTTTCTGCTGATCCCTAACCATATTATATTTATTTAAATCTAGTTTGCTTGGTTTTTTTTAGAGAATACTTAACCACCGTGTTAGATATGCATAATCTATGTATTTCAATCATTTAAATTTATGTTTTCGTTTATTATTATTCTATGTTACTCAGTTTCATAATCAAATACTTAACCACATTAGAAAAATATATGCTCTATGTATTATTATTCTTATGTTACTCAGTTTATATAACCATTTTGTTTATTTAAAAAAATATATGCTGTATAACTGATTTCATAAAGTTATACCCTTCTTTTGTGTAATAAACTTCTCTTAGTTTGCAAAATGCCGTGTATTTATTAGCGTAAGCAGCGTGAATGGCTGTGCGTGTACGTATGTCACATCAATGCTCGTTCGATTTAAAAAAAATATATGGTAATTTATGCAACTTTATTCACATTATCCCAATGTGATGTCATCATCATCCAAATTCCCTTTCACGGCCATTTATGAAAATTTATGCACGGTCCCCATTGTGACGTCGTCATTTATGCACAAATACCATTATGATGTCATGTTGAACAGCGCCCTCCGTAATCGTACCTAAACTACTCACATAATGTCTTCAAAGTACTATTTTTGACATTAAATCTTTACTATGATGCGGTATCGACATGTTATCTCGTATAGGACTCATAAGAGAGACCTAGGCTTTGATTATATATATATATATATAACAAGCATGACAATAACATGAACTGGATATTTGTGTAATAAATAACCCAGCTAGCATGAAATCATACGCCATTTCTACAGTGTTGCTCAAGTTTAGTAAGATATTACAAATATTGCCTAAATTACAATTAGCGTTGAATGCTATTACAAATAGCTTTGGTATTACAAATTGGTTTTATCATTATTATAAATACAGTTCATCGAGATTTTAAATTCGATTGGTATTACAAATAAAGTTGATTAGTATTACAAATGGAGTTGGTAGTACTAATATGTTTAACCATTAAGTTTGATCGTTATTGTATAGAAGTTTGCTACTACAAATAGAGTTGAACATTATTACAAATATGATTTGTATTAAAATAGGGTTTATTGTAATACAGGGGCTGTATGATATTATAAATATTTCTTATGAACAGGGTTGGTTGGTATCACAAATGACGTTTATCGTTATTACAAAAGAAGTTGTATTACTAATGGTGTTGATCGTTATCGCGAATACATTACAAACGGTTTTTAAGTTGATTTTCATTACAAATGTGTTTCATGATTATTACAAATATTTTGAAACTTGATATTTCGGTTAGTCACCCTAATATAATCGCATTTTAGTCTGATTCCATACACTGTTTTCATTACATTTAGTGAAACTGCGATTATGTTCCTTATCTTGACAAGGAAACGTATATTTGTGGGTTTACAACATCAACTTGTTTCCGACCCCCATCAATGTAGCGCCTTGTGCAAACAGTAGTGTAATTTGAATATGGGTCTACTCGTAACACAGACAACTCGACCATATATGTAAGTATGTACATAGTGTTTGTATTTCGAAAATAAAATTTTGCAGTTAAGTTTTTCTAGTGTGTAATATCATATATAATACACCATTTTACGTTAAAGAAACTCTTCTTTGAATACGTATGCTGATGATCAGACCACTCCTTCCATTTCAAAATTATTGTCACCTACAATTCACGATGATGCTTAATGAAAATAGAATAAAAAAAAGGAAGGCTTGTTGTATCTCCTCAAAATATGAATAACACGAATGGACCAGGTTTAAGTATTAATGATAGGCACATTAATGATAGAAACTTCCTCGTCAAATTCGAATTTAGAAATAATGTATTACCTGGCGAATAGTTTATGTGTGATAACCAAGCTATTTCAAGATAAGTTATCTATACGTGGCAAGTTGGCATTGTACTTTATTGACCTTGTGTTGTATTGTATGATTGTTATAAAAGAAGACTGCGAAATAGCTAGTATACATGTCTATATTGTTTGGGTGTAAGGTGCTACTTATGTTACTCCATTGTTCAAACTTGGTTTTCCAATTAAAATATACCAGCTCCAGATAATAGTAACATATCCAAAATTACTGACGAGGCATTCGTCTGCATTATCAAATTATATTATTTGATATGCAGGTGTTGACAAACGATACAATAAAGGTGAAAGGAGAAACTCGTGCGATTTAATATAGACAAATCACAAAATAAAAATGAGACAAATAAGTCATCTAGTAATTCCCGTAATGTGGCGACTTGTAAAGCAAATTTGTTGATCGGAGTTTATCTTATGATTTACTGCCCGTCGTCGTCCTCTCTGAGTTTTGGAAAACCGCAGTGCTGACTGATGTGATATAATACATTGCTATAGGGGGCCTTTATCTGATGTATTCATTTTGTGATGATATCTTCGATTCTCTAATTGAAATGTGCATTGTAACAACGAAGCTATTTCAGACGAGAGGCGGCTTCTTTTCTTCAATTTTATTCTAATGATACATACAGCTGAATAATTTGCTTATTCTGCTTTACCTAAACCAATTCACTGCAATTTTACATCAAGATTCTACACTCTCCTACTTATGGGGTATACCAATTCCAGCTTATTCGCTATGCCTGGACATGTAGTGTACATATGCAGACATTTGAGCAACATTGTCTTTGTTAATCTAAACTTTGTATTTGTGTAGAAACGAGTAGCCGTAACATTCGAAATTTTGTTTTGCCAAATACAGAAACCATTGGATTATACCCCACAATGGAGAATGTTGAGTGCCACATGTGGAGCAGGAATTGTCAATATATATATATTTCTGTCACAAATTTTTCCTAGTGTACGTATCAGTTTTCAGGTTTGGTGGATTTTGTCGATTGCTCTCAGTCATTTGTTTTTGTGTTTGCTTTCTGATAATGCTGTACACACTTCCCAATCGTTGGACTCACGGTATGTAGTTTGATGCAGCGTCCAGTCAGGAACCTAAACGTTTTTATTCAGGTACAAAGCGATTATTTGGCGTGCAATTGGAAAGATCAGTGAATTGTTGTGATGTGCCTATGCTTTATACCAGCATTATGAGTGACTGGCGGTGAGTGTTGACACTATATGTAGTCAATCGTATTTGACACTCAAACTCCTGCTTTTCATATCTTTTATTTGAACTAACCTTGTTGAGCAATAGGTGCAATAGAACATGTCTACTAATTTCCCGAAAAGTGCAATTTATTATCAACGTCGTATGGCGTAATTAAAGCTAATATTTGAATCCATACTACTCAAAGCGAAATATCAGAATTGTTGTGTATTTCACAGATAAGCATCAGCATAACATGTTTCTGTTAAGACGCAAGTCCTTTCATCTAGTCACTTCTATAACATGAACAAAAAAATGGATTAGCATTATAAATTTGCGGAATACTGGAACATAAATTGCCATTGTAATATCTCAAAATATCGGGTTCAAGTTTAAAGACATCTTTTTTATAGGATGACGTCACCACCATTATGGTATATTCACTGATCTAGCCTTGTAATATTTGGGGCAGAGGAGTGCATCGCAAGAGTGAAATACACGTACCGAATTACACAACAACCGGACGAGTACAACACATGTGAGTAATCAACATTATTTTATATTTTCTGTATTAACAACTTTGGACTTACATGCAAATAATCAAAAACACTAATTATTTAAAGCACTTATGAGGAACAGATGCCAAAGTTTTGCCAAAAACATAAGATGGCGAACAACATACGTTACTGGCCTTATATGGCTTCTACCAATTATGCTAAATGCCAACTATCAAATTGATAGGTTAATTCACTCATGCACAACGAATATGTTAAATAAAAATATTGTCACTTTTGTAAAATTATTCAATGTTTTTGCTTAAAGGCTTCAAGCATGAATTCTAAATGCGCAATATCGAGTTGATTGGCTATGGAAAAACAAATAGTTATTTTTATGCCATCTGAAATATTTAAGTAGAGATAAACGACAAATGTGCAATTGATTAACAATAATTTCCTGCGATAAATGCTAAACTCCGACATTCAGATCAATATGTAATTGGTTGGTAAACATTTCAAGCATTGCTTGCCGCAATTCCAGAATGAATTATGGCGGCAGAAGTCACGTGGCCACCACACATTGTATTGCAAATTGTTGTAGTTATATGGTTTATTGCCAAAAAATCTGCTTTTCTAGACGATTTGACGAAATAGGTTACAGGTGAAAAAGGAAAAAAAACAGACAACAAGGCTTTAATCACTAATAGATATTCGTGGAGCACGAAGTTCCAAAATACTATACTGAAGTACAGGAAAATACAACTTACTTTTTGTCAGTTAATTTCCAGCTTTCACCAAATTCAAGAACGTCTTTGACAATACTGCCATCTGGTTTCTGGAAGTCATTGCGGGGATCACCATCTGCATTACCCATCAGGCCACATAGCTTTCTGTTGTAAGAAGAGCCAGAGTAGGATACATCCAATGCGTGATTCCTCAGAGTCCAATTAAGAGTAAATGTCGTGTCTTTTGAAGTGAAATGCAGCTTAATACTTTTATCTTCTTCCTGGATTGTTATGACTTTTGCGTCAGTCACCATGCCACCTGTACTTCCCTGTGGAATGAATAACTGATTAGCATCTTCTTATGATTGCTGAAAAAAAATCTGTCTGCAACATCGCAATACTACCTGCTGAGAACTTACTGTAGTAACATCACGTCCATCTAGTATTGCATATTGATTTCCAACAGTTACGTTGATTGCAACAGTTCTTGTCTTTATTTGGTCAGGTGTACTATCTTCTCTTGGTTCAAACTTGGTTGTGACTTCAAAATGAGTGTTGTCGGAGCAGTCTTTGAACAGATAGTACCAGCCTATGCCTTGGAATGTATATGCATGCCCATCGAATGTCCTCATATGAGGATCATTATGACCACCATGGTCTAATATAAACAATGCTACACGTTATATATAATTGTTTTGCTTATGTACATGAACAAACAACATACAGGTAAAAAACACAAGATTGCTCAATTGAAATAGATATTTTTAGTCATCTGCAGTAAAAAGGGAGTAGCTAAGTATTGGTTTCGGAAAGTTTATAGTAATGTGATGAAGTAAGTTTTTCATCTATCTAAATGAAACAATTATATTAACAAGCAATATATATTGAAAAATTGAACATTGAACAAAATATCCGTTCTACAGAATATGTTTTATTTGGCAAAGAAATATCACCAACAAACTCAAGTTATAAAGTGACAGATATTACGTTAATATTGATCTATAAGAACCATACTTACACTCGCAGAAGGCATGGCTTCGTACCAACAAACAATTAACATCATTCCATAAGCCATTGAGTTTCCTGTCAAAGAGAAGTTAATTTACTAAAATATAATTGTAAGTGTAACAACTCCTATCCATCTCTCTAAAATTTGTCAGCATGTTTCTTAACTATTACCGCTCGAGTCTTAGGTGACACTAATTTTACCTACCAGATCTCCGTACAGTCCTCGATACCATTTTCATTATTTGGCTCGCCTGAATCTACATCCCAGTTCGTGTAAATACCGTCAATGGGTATTTCGTTTGAGTAATATGTAAAAGTCCCTTCGTTGACTAGATCGGTTATGCCAAGCCAATAAAAGCCTTATAAAAAAAATAAAAAATAAGTAAAACAATTATTTTGATACAAATAAAAAATGGCAAAGTTGCAATTACTTTCCATGTTTAATGATTAAAACTTTAGTATAGAACTTGCATATATTTATGCCACAAATATACCTGCCACATATAATTTCATTATCTCGTCCATTTGGAACTGACTTTTGGGTTGTGCAAGTTGCCATCCGACCATGGCTTCACATCTGTCTCTTGCTTCATACCAATTCATTGGGCCTGTAATAACTTTATAGATGTACGGGTGACCTGCATAACAAAACGATTAATGGTTAACAGCATCCCTATATAAGTATAATAGCTGTTGGCAACTAAAAGAAGTACACATTTTGTTGAATTTAGACAATGTTCTATACACACAATAATATCTTGTTTTTCACTAAAACCGGTAAGTTAAATGTTCAAATTGGAACGAATGAAATGGGTGTCAAATTGTAGGATCAAAACACAACAGTTTCAATTGAAGCATTGAAAACTTGTATTCTCAAACACCATGTATCCATTTGTATTCTTTTCCCACTTAAAACAGATATTGTCGTAAACTGTTGATAGATAAATTATAATACGTTTATAATTATTGGTATACAAACTTGTATGGTACTTTTAGTATTTCGCTAACAAAGAAAACGTACTTACGCTTCTCAATCAATTCCTGGAAAAGCAAGAAAAAAAAAAGAACTAACGTTTGTTTTCAATGCACGATAGCTGTTAATCACAAACAATTGACCATTGTAACCCTGCATCATGTTAACTTTAGATCATCATCCAATCAACCTTCTCCATCGGTTAATAAAATTGTTACTAAAAGTGTTTTCTGATGGACGTTTGCTATGTCATTACCGGAAGCAACAAATTCTGGTTAAAAAATTACGAACACAACATTATGACAGAAATTTGTTAAAACGTGATCAGAAAAATGTTATGATGTTACTTAACGAGGAAAATATAATTCCGAATTACGGGCAATGTTGTATAAATATCCCTGTTGGGTTTTGAGTGAAAGGGACTAAATTTAATTATATAAGTTTTCGTACATTGTAGACATTGTACACAGTCATGATACATGTATAAGAACATTTTTCTATTTTTGAAAATTGTGGAATTCAATTCCTCTTTATAATGCTTACATCGCTCGCTTGTGTCTATTAGCGTGTCGAAAATAGGCGACAATATGGTCTACGGTCGTTGATACGAAGTTAAATTTAGTATTGTCTTCAGAAAAAAATCTACATAACTTGTGTATATTTGATGAAAGGAATGATAAAATGTATTTAACATGAACGTTTCTGATTTGCCAAATGGATGTTATTGTTTATGATTGTATATCATATCATTGTGTGTCCGCAAAACAATATTCTGAATTCTCAGAGACAGACCATTAGGCGTTGGGTTGTCTTGCCGAGGAAGAAAATAAATAACGTTGGTAGGATGGCAAATTAGTAGATGATTATTGAATATACACAATATTGAATTCGAGGGAACCTACCTCATGAGGGGCTGCAAAAGCCAAACTGGAAACTGCAAGGATCAATATTAAACGTAACATCGTGGCTGTTTTTCCTACAATACTCTTCAACAGGAAATGTTGTGCAGAAACGTCAGAGAAATGCAACTGGTTGATTTGATCCGCTCGTTCGATTATAACGATTTTTTTTTGCTGACGCGTGTGTGTATTAATTCCTCCATTTGGGAAGATTTCTATTGGCTAAATAAATATCTTTTTTTCCCGCGCATGCTAATTTTCATTCGTTACGTAGTGACTGCTGGGGATGGTGTACACAACTGAGAAATGCACCAAACATTTTCATGAGTAACGCACCGTACTGAGGAAAAATGTAAAGATACTTTTATACAACATTGGTACTTATATCATGATGTTTAAAGTGAACGAAAATAAATACATTGCCGTATGTGAGTCAAATATACCCATCTTTTTACTGAGACGATTCAAATCAGTTGTTCAAATTAGCTCTAAGCATTTTTTGCAATATGTTACCGACAATGTTCTAATTATTTTTGTTAGAAATAATATGAGTCACGCTGGCACTCGCCACACACGCAAAATTCGATAAATTATATATGTTTGCGAATTATATTTTCACAAAAAAAATGTCTACGGCCAGTAGCCAAGATCGCCCTAGACGTAATCGCTGTTCTGGCGAAACGCAATGACTTCCGGGTTATTTTCCCGCAATTCCCGCTATAGGGGGTTCAAGATATTTATAATTCCCATGAAATGAATAACAGCTGTTATATGCAAATTTGTCCGATTCTGCGCACTGCGTTTGTTTGTAGTTCAGTGGAAGGTGAATGCGACCGCCACTGCGTTGGCGATCGCTAACAATGGGCAAGTCTGGTCAAAACAAGGAAGCAGATTACATTTTCAGGTTACTTTGGTATCGTTGATGCCGCTGTTAATACTACTACAGAAAACTTACATCGGAATATAAAAAAATCCATGGCTGGTTGAGGAAGTCATACATTTCTATTGTTCATATTCTATTTATTTCTATTTGTGTTGAAAAGCCTTTCGAATTAATGTATTTACCAATGGGAAGAAAAATGCTAAACCTAAGAAAGACGATTTCCAAAAACATGAAATCACTAGTCCACCGGTAATGTGATTTAATTCTTAAACGAATTTAAAATGTCAAACATGAAAGCAGATGTACCGTTCGATTTCTGATTTTGTTTTCATTCTCCGAACATCGGAAAAGGAATATCATTCATAATTAAATATCCCCCAATTGTAATTTTTGAAATAATCGTAGAAGAATGTGATTTTCAATATGGTCGCAAACAGCAAGATCGGAAATGACGACAGCTGTTACGAAAGCATAGATAAAGTGGAGAAAGCAGTTTCAGCTGAAATGCGTAGTGTCTATTACATGGTAAAAAAAACAGTGCAAATAGAAAACGTCAGGGATTAGTAGATCTACAAACACTTAATATAAGTTCCAATAATTTGGTAAAAAACAAACATGATGTAAAGATTCGCAAATTAACGACTTTTCTTTTCTTTATCTAATAATTTAGGATGATTTATGGTATTATTAAGCTCTTGTTTTTTGCCAATTCCAGGGTTGTGAACCATTAATAAAATTGGTGATTCTGAAAAAGCAATGTATGTTCACAACGAATGCATGGACGATTTCCAGAAGGCCATAAAGGCTATTTTCCGCTTCGTGTGAGATCTCACGAAACTGTCAAATTTGCCTAGCAAACAGTTGCTGGTCAGCTGATACAGGTCAAGCTTTGATCGCTAAATCATGAGTGTGTCTCGTGCCGTGCGTCATATTTCCGAGTGATTTTTTGCATCTGTTTCACGTTTTTGGCCACGGCAGACTGTGATAGAATGACGGTGCTACAGCACAGAAATGTTCTCCGTAAATTCGGCGTTTCATTCTCCAACTAAAAAAAGAATATTCTTCTTGCAATCGCTACAGCTGTGCACGAAATGGGACTCGAGGAAGACCCTGATTTGTTAAGCTACGATCCTACAAGACTTAGCAAAGTTGGTTGTAAATCCACCAATCCTTTGAAATTACCTGGTTACTCTAGTGATGTAATTAATGTTCTAGAATTCGGCCTGTCCAATGTCGTCAAATATTCTGCGTTATCGTTCTCCATCAGCCACATTATCGTATACCATGGAGCTATATAGCTCCATGCAATCAAACTACTTAAACTCCAAAATTACAATAATTATGCAATTCTGTAACACAATGCATGATGTAAGGATATATATCCACTATAAACAAGAATATCATGCATAATACATTCAAATATTACAACTTATACATGAATAAAGACTAACTAACTAACATACTGCTTGCCACACTGTGGCTAATGATTGTCATGGCCTAGT